TAGTCTCCTCGGCTAGGGTGAAGTTGTCGTGCTTTAGCCCAGGCCGGAGATATTGATAATAAAGATACCAAAAAATAAACTAAGAATGTTAGATTCCATCGTGATTTTGGACCTTATGGGTCAAATTGTGCAATTAATTAGTCTAAGTATGTGTTTCAAATGAATTTATGTGAAAGAAAATGTTTTTAAAAAAACTTGAAGGAAAAAAGTTATAGGTGATCTGCTAGGTGAGCAAAAGTCATTTTGCTAAAAAAAAGTTGAAAATAGGATAGGGAGAAGAATTTGGAGTTTTATAGGATATGATCTGCTAGAGATGTCATTTTCCGGAAGAAAACTCCAATGTATTCATAATCGACCAGGGCAATACAAACAACATCAGAGGTAATAAATATGAACCACCTAAGATGACTACAAATAGTGAAGCAAGCCGAAGACGTGCCATCATCGCCCTCCCTCATTTAAGTTGAGCAAACCTTTTAGTAAACAGTCAGAAAATCGTCATGTTAAGATCTAGCAGACCGGCGCACCACAACAAAGACGTTGAACTTAACAAAAATAAGAGAGCGGGTGGGGCACATCCCAAAAAAGGCCATCAAAGGACGGCAGCATGGATGGGAGGAGTAAACCCAATCGCCAGGGTGCTAGAGATACCCCTAATATAAGGCTATTCATGGTGATAGTCAATTAACCAGGTTCTAATTCTAACTATAATGAAAAACAATTGTCGACGGATTTTTTTTTAAATGAGGTAACCATACCCACATGGTAGCAAGCACGATTGGCCAGGATAGGACATTTGGACACTTGCCAATCCATCACAATCAGAGCTCTCCTATCTCCTCCACCTCCCGTGAGGAGGAGACAGCCTCTCCACCTGAGCAACACAAGAATTTTATCCGCTTAACTGCTGCCCGTCGCAAATGGAGGCAGCGGCAGCAGCGGCTAGCTCCTCTGTCCTGCTGTCATTTTCCAGCCCGGGGAGATCAACGGCGGCTACCTTCCTCCGCCTCTCCACGGCGTCGCCTCGCATCACATGCTCCGCCACACAGCAGCTTCCCCTCGCTGCGCCATGGTTGTTAACCTCCGACAAGAGCAGCAGCAGAAGAAGAAGCATCTTGTCGCTGAGGTGCTCCTCCGCTTCCACCGGCAGCCCGTCGGCCGTCGTCTCTTCGGAACGATGGATTCTTGAGCCCGCAGGTCCGTCTCTCTCCCTGTCTGACATTAACAAATGACCATCCGTGATAAGTAGCGCATGAATTATCGAGCATCGCCGCTGGTTTCAGGAGACGGCGACTGGAAACACATCGGCTACCGCGTCGCTCGGCCCGGCGCCATGGAGATCGCCTCCGTACGTGCTCTTCGTCGATTCCTGTTCTCCCGTTCGTGCTGATCATGTACATTTTGCAACAAAAAATACAAAAGTGTTGGTGATGGTAAGCATGACAGGCGTCCTGTTCATCTCAGGAAGCGATAACCGTGGGACGAGTTCCGGAGAACGCCGACGTCGTCATCCCCGTCGCGACAGGTGATCGATCTCTTCTCTTGGGTGTTTCGTTTTAGTCAAGGCGTCTGGTTTGCTGGTGATCTGAGAGTCTCTGAGCTGCCGCTGCTGCTGCAGTTTCTGGGGTGCACGCTCGGCTGGAGAAGAAGGACGGGAACCTGGTGGTCACGGACATGGACAGCACCAACGGCACCTACGTCAACGAGAGGAAGCTGGTGCCCGGATTCCCGGTTGCCGTCCAACCCGGGAGCCTCCTCATCTTCGGTACTACTCCCCTTTGCGTTCACTTCTCACTATTGATCAAAATGCCGGCAGCACACTTATTCAGTGCGGTTACACTCCATGCTTACTTAATCCTCTCAGTTAAAATGCTGGCATACTCTTTCAACCAAAATGCCTCCCCGATTAAATCGTCAAATAAAGTTCAGTGGTACCCCTAAAATTTCTCCTCCCTATCTCAAAAACCCAGGACTCTCCTAGTAAGATTCAGAACAAAAATTTGTTCAATTCTAGTAGTTCCCCTATTCTATATTTTAACAATATGTTGTACAGTAGATTGCTGTGATGGAAAACATTTTTTTTATATTTTTTGCCAAGCAATGAAAAATTGAATAAATTGAGTTGGAGTGAAGCACAATAAGCCGTTGCAGATGTAGCCATTTGAACTGACTGTAACCGCTTCAAATGGTAGTTATAGGAATACAGTCACAAGCAACAACAAACAATAAGAAACCGGTACATATATCAAGCAAATTCTATCACTTTCACTTTTTTCTCGAAACGGAGGTAAAAGATTTGCCTCATCTATTAAATAAGGAGAGTTAGGCCTCTTTTGATTCATAGGATAGGATTAGGAATTTTATAGGAAACGAGATGTCATTTGGTTGACACCAAAGGAATTTTTTCATTGAGTCTAGCCTCATTTTTATTTTCCTATGAAATGTGAAGGATATGAACCAATCCTATGTAGGAATAGGAATCTATTCCTATGAACCAAAGGACTCTAAAGGAAAAAAATCCTATAAGAATCCTATCCTCTAAAATTCCTATAAAATTCCTTCAAACCAAAGGAGGCCTAGAGTTTTACATAACCCCCTACACACAAGCCGCATGAAACTTGCTCGCACAAAATTACAGTCCAAGTTTCTTTGCGCCAGGAGAAACCAATAACTTTGCTTCTTCAAGAATGGATCTAAGAACAGGTGGTGGAGCAAAGTTTTGACGAAACACTCTAGCTTTCCGCTCGTTCCAAACGGTCCACAAGATAAGCATGGTGAGGAAGGCCATGGCATGTCAGTTTGGCTGTCTGTTATTGGTTTTTTTGCCCCACCGCTCATTGACAGATTCATCAAGATGCCACCCAGAGGTGTTGATCTGAGCTAGCCCAAGCTTCTCGATGATAGATATCCTAAGCGTGTGCCGACACTTTCTCTCTTTAGAAAAACCACACTAAGCAGAGCAATGAGTTTTATCCTCCCTGCAAACACACATCCCCTTTCCCTCCCAGCACAGAGCAGAGCACACGGTAGCAGCAGATACAGATAATTAGCAATTGGTTAGATGCAATTAGCCCTTATATATGGCTATCACTAAGACCAGCGGTTGCAGTCAGCACAAATCGCTAACTATCAGCAGCAAACAGGCATAACTAACCCACCGTGGCCTCTCCTCCACCGAGCCCTTTCTGTCAATCTCACCGCCGCCCCGGGGAAAGAAGATGAACTGAAGACACTCAGGGAGCGGGTCGGGTTTGCTTCCGCAATAAGAGAAGGGGGAGAGAGCATGTTTTCATGGAGCCCGGTAAATGGAAAGGAGGCTGGGGAATGTTGATTATCAAGGAGGAAGCGGAACTGCTGGAGATCATTGTGCACTTCTAGCAGAGTTTTTTGCTCGTCGAACTAGACATTTTCACTGCACTACGTGCATTTGAGTTTGACACTTTCACTACACTACTCTTTTGACGAATTGCTTCTATCTCAGGTGACATCCACTTGGCAATGTTTCGGGTGAGGAAGGAGATTGTCGATGTGCCAGCCAAGGCCACCAAAGATGACCAGCAGGAATCTGAGACTGTGCTGGCAAGTGCAGTTCAAGAAACAAGCTAGTGTACCTTACCTTTCAAAATAAGGGTGCAAAATAGTGCATCATGGTAATATACAGTCTCCGTCTCTGGATCGACAAAATATGTAGCTAGGCAGAAATAGCTTGCGAGTAAACCCATACAATTTTTGCAAAGCATAGGCAGATTGTTTCTGCTTTATCAATGTCCAACAACCATGGAATGGCAAACGGGACAGAGCCAATACAAGCTGTGTTGGAAAGCATTTCAAGCAATTCGTTTTCAAAACTAGTGTCAGACTGGCATTATAAACACGTAATCTACAGATAAAATAGGTTATAACAGAGCTGACAAAGAAGGAAATGCTGGTCAGCTCTTCAGTGATCTAAATGCTCTGAAATGTGAGCCCGCTATAATATCAGGTTCATAGAATAGGTATATCACAGGAATACAAAACTTGCAGGGAATGAGATGCCATTGCAGGAGATGAGATAACATGTATCTCAAATCCTATGATTAGGAATAGGAAATAATATTTTCCATGAGTCTAGGCTAATGCTTATTTTCCTGTGAAATAATTCCTGTCTATGAATAGGAATGTATATTCCTACAAACCAAAGGGCTCTAAAGGAAATGAGGCCTAAGAGGTAGGGCAACAAATGGGATTGTTAGGATTGGTTTCTCTCCACACAGATGAAGTAACACTCAACTACTGTATCAGAATGGGCACCATAAAAGCAAACCTACCGAAGAGACACGAGGAAATGCTGACCCTTTGCTAATCTAGGTAGAAAATGCTTTAAAGCACCAAAAGGCCAAAGCACAAGGCGCATAAACTGGGTCATGAATCGCCGAATCACCATAACTGGGAAAGATATACATCATATTAGCATCAATGATGACAACAACATGCATGATATCTTATACGATTTCTAGCGGACAGATCACTAATCTTGGCGGTGGATACAGATAAATAGCAGAACCAAACTATTAAGAAACTGTAAGATCACAGCAACAGAAGCATGAATCTACAAAGCTACTAGCAGCCTAGGGGCATGTTTGATTTATATACCTCCAAACTGCGATAGAAAGTTAAGTATTACTGTAGATGGTTGGCAAATTTTCCAATCCACGAAATGATTGGCATATCGCAACTCTTGTTATGTGCAAAAGGTTGCACCATCAGATCAACTAAAATTCACGGGCAAAGAGGTCCAAGCAATTAAGAAAACTTTATCTTAACGTCCAGTCTCATCATTAACATAAGATAAACATAGCATAATCCCTTTAACTAGGCATGAAGCAAAATGATATTGCACGGGCACCTCAGAATCCATTTCATCGACCAAAAGATGGGAAACTACTAGCAGAAAATGTAGATAGATAAGTAGACAAGCAGTACGCCACCACCGCCATACCCAAGAGGACTTCTCGCAGAGATCAACGGTAAGACTTCTGGAAACGCGCGCGGGCGCCACGACCGCCGAACTTCTTGGGCTCGCAACGGCGCGGGTCGGCGACGAGGAGCGTCCGGTCGTAGCGGGCGAAGATCTCCTTCACCTCCTTCTTGGCCGCCTCGTCGACGTACTTCTGGTAGTAGGCGACGAGGGACTTGGCGATGGCCTGGCGGATGGAGTAGATCTGGCTCGTCTTCCCGCCGCCGCGGACGCGAATCCTCATGTCGATGTCCTTGAAGCGCGACCTACCGGCGAGCAGGATCGGCTCGAAGGCCTTGAGGCGGAGCATCTCGGGGCGGATGAGCTCGATGGGGGCGCCGTTGACCTTGATGAGGCCGCGGCCGGGCTTGCAGTAGGCCACGGCGACGGCGGTCTTCTTCCGGCCGAAGCACTGGACGGTGCCCGGCGTCGGGCGGGTGAGAACGGCTGCCATGGTGGCTGCGGCGGTGTCCTGGGATTGCTGTGAGCGCGGTGGTGTGCTTGGTTGCGGCTAGCGCAGCGGCGCGGCGGGGTTTTGGGTGGCGGCGGAGAGGCGACGAAGAAGACGAGAGGTCGTTTATATAGCGTGGAGGCGTTAGGGTTCCGGGCAGCAGTATCTATGACATGTGGGACCATGCTGAAAGGATCTGGGCTGAGAGGAATCAGTTGGACTCTATGTGGGCCTTGAACACAGGGCTTCTTCCAGCCTGTGGGGATTTTGAAGTCGGAAGAAGTCCAGTTTTCACCCCAAATGTGGCCCGATGGACGAATACCCCCCTCAAGTCCAATTTGGTATGATTTTAACCCCCAAATTCTTAAAACCAGATAAATCTTTCCCTAGGCGGTTTTGCTGCTGATTTTAGGCGGTTTCTGGTTTGATCTTGTGATGTGGCTTGCTCCTTTGCTCTCTCCTAGTCGTTTCGCCCCTTCTTGCCAGCTGCCGTCGGCGCCGCCGCCATGGGCAGGAAAGATACAAACTGCTGTCGTGCATGGAACAGTCTCGTCAGAGTGATGTCTGGCTTCTGACGCCACCGTCAAGGCACAAGGTCACCACCAACGGCAAGTTGGCAACGAGTCCAGCCGCGCCGAGCTACGCGAGGCCGCCGTCCTCCAGCACGCCGCGATGGCCAACCTCATGGGCCTCCTCCGCAGGCTCAGTGATATCACGTAGTATGTTGCTCTCCTTAATTTTGGCTTTATGTACGTGTGTGCTACTGTCTGAAACTGAACTAGCTTTCTTTATCTTGTTCAGGCTCGCCGCAGATGTGTTCCACGACCTGCACGACCATGCCACGACCACGTCTTCGCGGGCACGTGGCCTCACGCTGCAGGCGCAGTAGCTTGACGCAAAGCTACCGCTCGTTGAGGAACGTCTCTGTCGACGTGAGAACAAATGACTCTTCTTCCTGCAACAGGATGTTGTCGTTGCTTGTAGCATTCATACGTCTTGTAGTAAGCAGACCAAGGACGAGGGCGAAATTAGGGTTGAGGAATTGGACAGCGGCGACTGCTAGTCTTTGACGAGGAGGCAGACCAAGGACGAGGACGAAATTAGGGTTGAGGAATTGGACAGCGGCGGCTGCTAGTTTTTGACGAGGAGGCAGACCAAGGACGAGGACGAAATTAGGGTTGAGGAATTAGACAGCGGCGACTGCTAGTCTGCTACAGCCGTGTCATCGTCACCTCGCTAATATTCAAGAAGGAAGGGAGTGATGGGAGAAGGAATCAAGAGACTGGTTTGGTCAGTCCGACCAAGAAAAAAGCAGCCCCATGCCACATCATAATTGTCATGCCTTATCATCTATAAAACCGCCTAAAATCTGACAAATCAGCCACAAAACCACTCAAGGGGAAGATTTATCCGGTTTTAAGAATTTTGGGGTCAAAATCATACCAAATAAGAGTTCAGGGGGGTATTTGTCCATCCAACCACATTTAGGTGTGAAAATGGACTTCTTTCTTTGAAGTACAGTGACTGGTGAGGTGGAGGAGCAGGGAACTGGGGTTTCGGCCCAAGCACTATTTGAACAAACCCGAGCGAGGCGTGCGGCGTTGGCATCATTGTCACCACTCTGCAAGAAGGATGTCTAGGGTATGAGGCGGATAGAGCAATATCATATTCATACCATATAGTCAACGGATACAAAATGAAGGAAATATGCCCTAGAGGCAATAATAAAGTTATTATTTATTTCCTCATATCATGATAAATGTTTATTATTCATGCTAGAATTGTATTAACCGGAAACATAATACATGTGTGAATACATAGACAAACATAGAGTCACTAGTATGCCTCTACTTGACTAGCTCATTGATCAAAGATGGTTGAGTTTCCTAGCCATAGACATGAGTTGTCATTTGATTAACGGGATCACATCATTAGGAGAATGATGTGATTGACGTGAGCCATTCTGTTAGCTTAGCACTTGATCGTTTAGTATGTTGATATTGCTTTCTTCATGACTTATACATGTTCCTATGACTATGAGATTATGTAACTCTCGAATACCGGAGGAACACTTTGTGTGCTACCAAACGTCACAACGTAACTGGGTGATTATAAAGGTGCTCTACAGGTGTCTCCGATGGTGTTCGTTGAGTTGGCATAGATCGAAAATAGAATTTGTCACTCCGATTGTCGGAGAGGTATCTCTAGGCCCTCTCGGTAATGCACATCACTATAAGCCTTACAAGCAATGTGTAACACCCACGATGCGGCTATATCTCCCACGTGTCGGAGCACGACTTAGAGGCATAACCGCATAGTAGGCATGTCGCAAGAGGGGTAATCTTTACACATCCCATGTACTGAATAAGAAAGGGATAAGGAATTGGCTTACAATTGCCACTTCACACAATACATAAATATAGCATTACATCATCCAGAATACAATCAAGGTCTGACTACGGAACCAAAATAAAAGGAAGACAACCCCAAATGCATAGATCCCCGATCGTCCCGACTGGGCTCCACTATTGATCAACTGGAAATGAAACAACAGAACGAACATGATCTTCATCGGGCTCCCACTTGAGCTCGGTTGCATCACCTGCACTGGTATCATCAGCACCTGCAACTGTTTGGAAATAATCTGTGAGTCACGAGGACTCAGCAATCTCACACCCGCGAGATCAAGACTATTTAAGCTTATGGGTAGGAGAGGGTAGTGAGGTGGAGCTGCAACAAGCACTAGCATATATGGTGGCTAACTTACGCAAAAGAGAGCGAGAAGAAAAGCAAAGCACGGTCGTGAACTAGAAGTGATCAAGAACTGATCCTGAAACTACTTACGTTCAATCATAACACAAGAACCGTGTTCACTTCCCGGACTCCGCCGAAAAGAGACCATCACGTCTACACATGCGGTTGATTCATTTTAATTAAGTTAAGTGTCAGGTTTTCTACAACCGGATATTAACAAATTCTCATCTGCCCATAACCGTGGGCACGACTTTCGAAAGTTCAAAACCCTGCAGGGGTGTCCCAACTTAGCCCATCACAAGCTCTCACGGTCAACGAAGGATATTCCTTCTCCCAGGAAGACCCGATCAGACTCGGAATCCCGGTTACAAGACATCTCGACAATGGTAAAACAAGACCAGCAAAGCCGCATGATGTGCCGACAAATTCCGATAGGAGTCACACGTATCTCGTTCTCGGGGCACACCGGATAGGTCAAGCTACGAGTAAAACCAACCCTCGAGTTGCCCCAAGATGGCCCCGCAGGCTGCCCGTTTCGGACCAACACTCAGAGGAGCACTGGCCCGGGGGGGGGGGTTAAAATAAAGATGACCCTCGGGCTCCGGAAACCCGAGGGAAAAAGGCTTAGGTGGCAAATGGTAAAACCAAGGTTGGGTCTTGCTAGAGGAGTTTTATTCGAAGCGAACTGTCAAGGGGGTCCCATTCCCCCAACCGCGTAAGGAACACAAAATCAAGGAACATAACACCGGTATGACGGAAACTAGGGCGGCAAGAGTGGAACAAAACACCAAGCATAAGGCCGAGCCTTCCATCCTTTACCAAGTATATAGATGCATTAAAGTAAACAAGATATAATAATGATATCCCAACAAAACCCATGTTCCAACAAGGAACAAACTTCAATCTTCACCTGCAACTAGCAACACTAGAGGGGCTGAGCAAAGCGGTAACATAGCCAAACAACGGTTTGCTAGGAAAGGTGGGTTAGAGGCTTGACATGGCAATATGGGGAGGCATGATAAAGCATGTGGTAGGTATCGCGGCATAGCAAAAGAGCGAGCAACTAACAAGCAACGATAGAAGCGATTTCAAGGGTATGGTCATCTTGCCTGAGATCCCGCAAGAAGAAGAACGAGTCCACGAAGAAGACAAACGGACGTAGTCGAATGGATCCTCACAACTCCGGAACGAAACCGAAGCTAACGAGAGAAGCAACCCAGAAAGAAGCAAGCAACATAGTAAACAACCATCACATAAACATGGCATGATGCACAACCAAGTATGATGCATGTCCGGTTTAATGAGGCATGACATGGCAAAGTGCACAAGTAAAACTACAAGTTAAGTGGAGCTCAATATGCAACGAGTTGCATATTGACGTAACACCACAACAATTATCTAGTTCTCTCCCGTTTAAGTACTCAACAATATTAAATGTTGGTTAGCATGGCATGGGATGAAGCATAAAAGAAACTATCTAACTAAGCAATTTAAATGGGGCTGGATATAACAAACAACAAATCCGGAAAATTCCCATAAGTATTTAGCAACTTAAAGCAATCAACAAGTTTAAACATTTAAATGTTATTATCATGACGCAAATGACATATGCAAGTTTTAAGCAATGTATGAAAATGTTACAAGAGCATGTTATGAAGCATTTTTCACCATGGTGGAAAGAAAGGAGGCCACGGCGATGAATCCGAAGTGATGCCATGACAACATTTCGGTTCCGGTAACTCGATTGAGATACCGATGCAAAAGGAAAAAATGACGTGAGTGTGTCATGCAAGATGGTGGGGTGATCCCGGATACCTTGTTTCCACGGGTGGACGGCATGGCAACGAGGAGGACCATGCAAGCGACAATTTCAGACACGGTGCAAACGCGGGGTTCATCTCATTCAACACACATGCATTCGGTCCACGGGCGGTCGTCTCGATGGTTATACCTTTCGAAGCGTGCATTTTCGGAACGGATCAAGTTCGTAGAGGGAAGTAGGCATTCTCACGGCGGCGGTAGAAGTAGTGGTACACGTTCGTTTTCCAGAGAGGTACTTGACGAATCCAAGGTTTCCGGGGGCGACGGTAGTGGAACTTGGAAAATCCGAGTTCTTCGGAGGTCGTCATCGAACTTGGTAAAAAAACACGGCGTGGGTAGTCGTTCACTTGACGGCCTTCGACGACGGTAGGCGTACACGTTCCGTAGAAGTTCGAGTCACCGGTAAAGGAACTTGGCGGTCCAGAGGG